TATGGCGGTTTACATAACTTTAATTTCAGCAGAAGAAAACTGTCTTTCCCAGATTTGAAAATCCGGTCAATACAGGTTATGTCAAAGCGAATAAACTCTAAAAACAGAAGTACAAGAATTCTGTGCTATTTTCTCAGCGGTGAGCAGATTGTTACCGGCATTCAGTATATTGCATTCTAGAGAAGAAGCAGACTTCAAATATTCGTTGCATACTACGGCCAGACGATTCCGTAAAAGTGGACAGCTCTCTAGCAAATTTTACGTTGTGTTCTTTTCACGCTTGCCTATTCGCATTACCACTACAATGTTACAAAGAACACAAGAACTATACAAGAGTTCAATGAAGGGAAGTACTTTTCTTTAATGATAGTAGATTTAACCTGAATAGTGTAATAAGACAGATTATCTGAGTCAGAGGTTAGCACGTGATACACTGGTGGACATTTGCTAAGGATTGATATGACATTAGCAGCGAGAGCAACCACAAAATGGAAAGCAGAAAAATGTGGAAATAAACATAAATGCGGAATACAGTAAGACATGCTGTGCGTATACAAATTTTGGATTGCCGAAATTGTTCGTCACGTGAAGCGCTGATAGGAGAGATAAAGGATTTGAAGCGTATTGACTTTTGTTGCTCGAAAGCAAAATTAAACGAGAAAGAATCAATTGATGAACTTACAGTTTTTAGTATGTCTTCTCGACATCATTTAAATGATTTTACGCATGGCCGTATGATTGGCAACATTGAAGAAGGGCGAAAAGTAACAGAAATTGCTAGGGAGTTCAATGTCAGCCACATTATTGTTTCAAAGCTTTGGAAATAGTTTCATAGAAAGTGAATGTGTAGCAAACGTCACTGGAAAGATCGTGTTCGCAGTGTGACGCCTGAAGCCAGATAGGTACATAGTCTTATCGACATAAAAAACCGGTGCAGCACAGCTCTTGAGGAAGCAAATCAGTTACTTGCTGCTACTGGCAACTGAATCTTCCGAAGAACTATAGCCAGACCTTTGCATCAAGAGAGTCTATGCGCCCACCGTCCTGTTGTGTGCATTCCATTGTCTAGACAGCAACGAACCGCTAGTTTGCAAGGTATCGCGAGCATCGCAATTGAAACTGTACTGTTCGTAGATGAGAGTACGTTATGCCTGTTAGCGGATTTTACACGCCAACTAATCTGGTGTGAGAGTGGTATTGCTTATCGTCCAGAAAATATCCAGAAAAGGACCGGTATCCGAGGTGCAATACCATGGTATGGGCCGGAACTATGATCAATGGCCATACGTTTCTGCATGTGTTAGCAACTGAGACTATGAATGGTCAACGATCCAATTAATAATCTGCTGCCTCATGTTCGCATATTCCGTAGTGCTTCCGTTGATAGTTTTCTTTCATGAACAACAACATATTGTGCCATCGAACAGGAGTCCAGGAGTATCTAGTGAGCGAGTATATTCATCGTCTCGTATGGCCAGCCCGTTTTCCAGATCTGAATCCCATTGAAAATGTTTGGGATACTTTGGAGAGGAGTCGTGTTGGTCGACAATGCTCTCCAATAAACAAGGACATCTTCATCCGTACACTGACAGAGGAAAAGGACTAATTTACCCCAACAGCTGTTCGATAATGTTTGCAAAATATGACACGTCGTGTAGAATCTTACATCGCCCTTCATGATGACCATCTCCCGAATTGACGTCTTACGCCTGAATGTCTGCGGACGATAATTGCAATTTTTTCACTTTTACGTATTCAGCACAGTATGACCATTTTGTCCTTTGTACACTTTTTAAAGTCTTCTAGATTTTGGAGCACAATAAATTATCTTTATTGTTATGCCCTGTTATTGGTATTCTGGTAGCATTGCTTTAGTTCACTTGGCATTCAAACAAACTTACTTTTTAACGCACTATATAGCTGTTTGTAAACCGTTCATATCAATTGTCCACCACCGTATTACACTGCAAGTATTACTGAAACAACTCGATTCTTTTATAGTGCTCTCGTCTAGGAAGACACTATACTGGATGAATATACAGAGCTGCATACAATGGAAATCAGTACAGTAACCACTGAGAGCTATTGTAGTGGTTTAATCCTACTCCAGTGTGAGTTCCTTCCAAGCTGATATGGCCCCGACTTTATGTACGGTAAGGAGAGTAGACGAAGGTTTTCCATCATAACTTGCATTCGCTGCTGAGTAACCAGATCTTCTTTACTTCACGGAAAGTGGTATACGGATTTAGTCTAAATTATTTAAGTGTTCAACTTTACGCCAGCGTGATATAAGAACCAACCAGGCACAGCGAAACAAGAACGAATTGATATCGGGTCAACGATTTTGTGTTTTCAGCTGTAAATTCTCGTATGCGTAACTTTACTTTCTCTGATGTGGCCTGTCCACGGGTCAAAGTGGACGGGTCAAAGTCCCGTGGACCAGGAAGTCAAATCCTGGTCCACGGGTGTGAAAAAGCTAATGCTTTTTACGACTTGGTAATTGTGATGTATGATATGACCATGACATTTGTGACAGATATATCTATACCGCTACTGAATGCTCCCAAATGCTACACCCTTCATGCTGCGGATATCCAAAAGTGAGGGCAGTGCTGGAATAGACTAGCGTTTTCATTTCTCCTATTTGAATCCCATCAAGCAATGTCAAGAACATTCTTGAGCATGCATTTGCGACACGCTCACGACCACTGGCAACTGTTTTGTAGCTGAAAGTAGTTTCGATAGAGCAACGTTTTCTTAAACTTGTGTTCCACGGAATCCTAAGGCTATACGGCGATCATTCAAGGATTCCCCGAAACTTACGTGCTTTGTCTCATAGTATATGAGAAAGTAACTTCGAAAGCAATAAAAATTAGCCTCTCTACTAAATTAAAGAACTAAAATAAGAATAATCCTCTCAGCCAGTGACTAATCTGGATAGTCGATGCAAATGCAACAGTCGGACGTCGCAATTTGGGACAGTGCTTTGATGGGACAATTTTTAGCATTCTGCAGCAAACTCACTTTACCGGAAAGGGGGAATCCTCTAATTTTAAATACAGGGAAATCCTTATAATTAAATACAAAAGGATGCTCGAAGTAGCGAGGGATAATAGTCAGTTATCAATATGTATCTTATAAAATACTAAGTTATTGAACTTTTTTTAATTAAAATTTTTTGCTTATTGATAAATTTTATTCGTTATTATAACACCATATCAAGCATATTCTTCCATAAGACTGGAAGTAAAAAACACAATATCTCGCGGACCATAATATAAATTATATACAAATCCAGCCAGATAACCGACAAAAATTTATTTTCAATGATTACGCACTTAAGCCATGGAACAACTGCATTGATGTCTGTACCAATGAAGCAACGGCCACGAGTGGCATAACTGATGGAGCTAAACAGCTTATTAAAAATATCTCCAAAACTTTTTCTAGTAAACACTGCATGACACATAGGCAAGCAAACTGCCTATAGCTTAACTAAGCTAGCTAAGCTTACTGCAAAAAAAATTAACCCCAGCTATACTTGATGAAGTCGTCAAAGTCATTAACTTCATAAAACCACAGTTAATAAATAACCTTTTATTAAAATTACTATGGGAGGGCATGGGAACAGTACGCACATCTCTTCCTTTATATACTGAAGTCAGACGGTTATCTCAAGGAAAGATACTAACCCATAATTTTTAGTTAAAGGACGGGGTGCAAGCGTTTCTTAGAACGCAATTTCGAATTGAAAAATCGATTATTTGATAGAAATTGGCTGCTTAAAATTATATATATAAGCGACATTTTTTTTCAAACAAACAAATGTATTTGCAACTCACGAAAAATTTCTTGCTTTCATGAAAAATATTTTATGACAATTCGCTTGTTCTCCAGACGACTTTCATTGCTTTGGGAGACATTTATTGAAGAAATTATTCTGCAACTGAAAAGTCTGAGAGAAAATTTAATCAGCATTTTTCAAATGAACAGGATATTAAATATCAAAATGAGTTGTGGATTAAAAACCCATATTGCCAATCCACGACCTTAGACCATGCAATCAGAAGAATATAAAACTTTTATTTACATGACTTCTGATTCATCGCTGCCAAAGAAAAGTTTATACAAATGCCGTTAGAGAAAGTTTAAAAGATGAATATCCTAACTTGTCAAAAAGATCGTGCTAGCATTTTTACTATTTGCAACTACACAGAATGGGAATCTCAGGTGTATGTATCGATAAAAATAAATACCTGATCAGACTTGAAGCCAAACATGTCATGAGACTTCAACTTTTATCAATAAAACCTAATATTAAGTATATCTGCGATAATACATAGTGTTAAGCATATCTGCGATAATGTTAAGTATATCTGCAATAATACACCCATCTCATTAAAATTTAAAAGTCTTGTTCGAATACGTTATTTCAAGATTCAACTTTTAGATTAATATTGAAGTAATTGCTTTTAAAAGAAAATAAATATTATTTGCAGTAATTGTCGTTTGTATTACAAACAATCCGTTAACGGAATGTGGCATTAAATTATAAATATTGAAGCAAACCAGGGTTCCACGATAAAAGTAGACATTAAAAAGGGTTCCACTTATCAAAAAAGTTAGGAAAAGCTGCGATAGAGGAACGGAAAATTCTACAAGTGGCTCATCAACTTCCCCATTTAAAATCTGTGTGCAAAACGTACCTTGTCGTTCGTGGCATAATATGTCTTACTGAAGATCATTAGTTATCCGTATTTAATCTCTGACAGCAATCCTTTTTTAGGAAGGCAAAACAACCATTTCTAAATAAAATAGATTTGTACATTTTTGCATCTATTACTTTTAATGCGCTGTTCCTTAATTACTTCGGTATTACTTCTTAATGTGACATTAAGTTAAAAACCTGATTATTATTAAGTTTTGCATACCAGTACATAATAAAACTCATAAATGGTGTTGTCATTACTCGACCATAATTCTTCAAATGTATTTTGCAGACGGCAACTAAAGAAAAGGATGAGAAAATGTCGAAGAAAAAAGGCAAAATGGACTTAGAGGAGTTAAAGCAAGAGGTCTCAATGGTGAGTACTTTATAATTTAAGCAATTATATTTACAAATATCCCATCTGAGAACGTTTGGGAAAAAAATTAAAATAGGTACTTTTTCTTCTTTCATAATTTATTTCGCGATTTTGAATTGGTATTTTGCAAAATTTGTTTCAGCACCTCTCTCCCCCCCAAAAATTCTTTTATAGCAAAGAACCATGTGTTTAGGGCGGTTCTGATCTCTTCCAGATTTCTTAACAGTGAAAGGAACAAGAATAAAATAAAATAATCAGTTTAATTCATTACAGTTAACAGTTAATTATTTGAACGACAATCTACTAAATTAGATTTACGAGTATTTAAGAATACTTATTATTCTACTAAATTAAACTTAGAAGTGTTACTAAATTTGTTTTTCCTAATGGCTAGGTAAAAAGCTACAAATAACTAAAATCTTATGAACAAAGGTTACAAACAAATGGAACTAATAACAAGAAGACCGAAGTCTTTGCCTAATTATGCGTTCTTATGTTCCAGTACGTCGACTCTTCTGTAAGACCACGAATAGCCCCACATCGAAATAGATGGTCCCCGTCCCTTTCTTCTCCAGAATCACAAAGTGGGTAAATTTGATAGGTTAAAATGCTTGCGTGGTACAGGTGAGTAACAAGGCAATCATGTGTTGTAGACAAACGGAAAACAGTCACTGCATTCGTCTTGGACTATCGGGAATAAGAGAACTTAACCTCCCCCAACTTTTTAAGACCGTACGAGTCCGAAGATCTCGTAAGGTATTACATGTAAATAATTATTTTAAAAGAATTTTAATCTTCCAATAATAAGTGGCTGTATTAGGATGTTGTAGTAAGCTGGAACCTGTTTTTGCAAAGAAGTCCGCTTGTTCATTGCCCCAAATGCCACAATGGCCAGGCATTCACTGGAGAACGATTTGTTTCCCCTTTAAAGAGAGAGTTCTGAAGAATTCTTGCCATTTCAAAATTTCAATTATTAATAAGCGTTCAACAGAGCTAATTGACTGAACGGCATGTAAGGCTATCTTCCAGTGGGAACATACGAAAAAAATTGTGAAGATTCACAATTTTTTCGTATGTTCCCACTGGAAGATAGCTTTTCTTCATTATTGCTTATATTTACTCTATGTAGTGCTTATATTTACTCTATGTAGATGGTACAATTAAAAATATATCAAAACACTAGAATATTACAGGAAATATTAAAACAATAAAAAAATTATAATTGTAACTGAATGTGGTTGGTAAATGGTAAACACATTAGGAGAAAAATGAAATTACTTCCAGCGCAAAATCTTTTTTTGATTAGCAAAGCTATTTAAGTGCACACACATGCATCATGCACACACATTATATTACACATGCATCGACAAGCAATTACTTTTTGTACCTTCCTCTATTATTTATCTGTTATTTATTAATAATTATTCATAGTTGGAGATAATAAATAAACATTCAGTTTGTGTAGTCATTAGAAAAAGATCAAAATTTTATTTCTTCAACTTATATTTTTACCTACAACTTACATTACAAGTTATATTTTTACTCTTCCACTTATCTTTTCCTTTAAAACTATGATACAAAGCTTAACTATAAGCTTTCATTTTAATTTTAGATGCTTCGCATTCCTTCAAATGTATTCTGTGCAACTGAATAACCCGTTGAAATATTCTTATTAGTTTTAAGCCGTATATTGTTTCAACGATCAACTATGACAAGGACAAAGATGATAACGGGAGGGAAATAAATTTTCAAGGTGCAATGTCAACTCTTCTTGACGCCAGGTGGCGTACCTATTGTTTAGATTGCCATGAGTTAGATAAACGGAGGACAGATGCGGCATAAACATCTAGAGTTGGGATGAGAAACCTAGGGCATTTTATCAGACTTTTCCCAAATGAAAACCACGTGTTTTTCCCCTTTTTTTAAATGATTATTTTTTAAAATTATTTAAGGACTAAGCTACAGTTATTTTACAGGAAATATAGTTATGCTTTCAGGTTTTCTGACAGAAACCTGACTAAAACTAGTAGCATGTCAATACCGCCAGGTCCTAATCTTTTCTTTTATATCAGTATTCTCTGTACACTACAGAATTTGTATGATAAAATAGAATTATTTTATGCTTTTGACATTTTTTGTAAGCATAAGAATATTTTAAAATAAAACTGTACACAAATTATTTTGTAGACTTAAAATATGGTCTTGTATTGCAAAAGACTTCTCATTGTAGGAAGCTCTAAGAAGTTCTAGAATGTTCGCAGGCTGCAGTGAAAGTAATATACGAAAGACGAAATCTTTTGCAATAAGTAAACATTCATCGTATTAAATAGAAAGCTATAGTACATCCAAGTTGTAGTAAATTTAACAAGTCAACTGGGATTGTTTTATCATTTTTGTTTAAAGTAAAGAAAGATTTATGAGAAATAAAGTACTGAATAAAGTTGCGAATTGAATTTTTACAAGTTTTATGACAGTTTTTAAGTTACATATATGCATATTGTTAAGTTACATTGTAGAGACATTAGGTTATCGTTTGGAAGCAGAGGAAATGAAAAATAAGCAACACCTCCGCCGGGAATCGAACCGCGGACCTCGGGAATACACGCCCAGCGTGCAGACCACCATACTACGAAGGCATACTAAGAAGGCGGGAGAAATACCTTATATACTCCCCCTTTTAAAGGGCGACTGGGGTTTTAGGGAACCCAATCGGCAAAGCCTGGGTGTGGAGAATCATCATCTACCACACTTTTTTTTAGTTTGGACGCCCCTGTACAGACATTAGGTTATTTTTGAAAGCAGAGGAAATGAAAAATTAGCAATGCCTTTGCTGGGAATCGAACCACGGACCTCTGGAATACGCGCTCAGCGTGCAGACCACCACATTACGAAGGCGGGAGAAATACCTTATAACATATTATATATATATATATGACAAAGATTTAAAAAACTCATTAGGATTCAAATATAAAGATGAAAATAAAAACGTAGAATAAATCATGCATAACTTTATTTATATATAATTCCTAGACAGGATGATAAAACAATTTGGAGGAAAAAAACTGATAAAAGAATTTTTATAAATTGAATTAAAATGCATTTCAGAGAATAAATACATGTAATTTTATCTAAATGTGCATTAACTGAGGAATAAATACATATAATTTTATCTCAATACAGTAAATGAGAAATTAATAAATGACTAATTATTAGAATTGAAAAGTGTTCTTCATAAATGCATTAGCGTCTTTGCTTGAAACTAACAGCAAGAAAATACGCAATAAACAAAAGAGTATAAAAAAGAGTAAAGAATGGTATGTGCAGAGTAAACAATAAATGAACGGACAGTGCCAGAGTAAACAGGAAAGCTCTAGATGTAGACTTTGCGACATCAGCTATGTAGTATAAAAGGGAGAAACATTATTGACATTATCGTAGTCTTGATCTGTAAACAATGTTTCCGGAGAGAAAAAAGATGTGTTAGAACTTAGTCTGAATAGTCGTGAGCAAAGCTGACTGAAAACTTGGTGGGAAATGAAAGCTCTAAGAAGGTTTTAAGTTTCTGTTTTCACATAAAGAAGGCTTTTACGATATAAAGAGTAAACTGGCTGCAATGGTGGCCTAATATAATATGTTTTTAACAAAATCAGCCAAACGACCCATATATATTAAGTCAATGTAAGGGTTGAGGAAAAATTATGAAGCTAGTACGTTTTTATTATCCTTAAAATACTAGATACCGATGAGAAATTTGAGTCTCTGAAGAAAGAAGCAGTGAAACCAGAGGCAAAACCGCAATTAATGGAGAACTAAGTAAAAAAAATTATAATAATCATAGTTGAAAACAGTAACACTTTTAAATTTCAGAGGACAAAAAGCCATTACTATGCCCCACCTCTTTTTTTAATCACAAAAAAGCTTACAACCGAAAAGTCCAGTAAAGTGTTCTTAAATGTTTCACTAAATTCACTCTTGCTATAAACATTGCTGAATCTTTCTTTGAAAGGCAAATAGAAAGTATTCCTGCGAGTGATCTTGAACTGCAATTTGTTTGGATTTGTCAACATAATCGGTAAATTACGAATTGATCATTATCGCGTTAAAACACTATTGTTATTTCTTATAGCAATGAAAATATAACTTTGCCTGAGTTTCTAATCACCAAAAAAATCTTACATGATAGCACAATACAAAGTTAACAAATCGAACTCTTATATGAAAGAAACTTTGATTACTGAATTATCTTAATATAAGAAAAGGTATTTAACCTGTCTGAAAAATTTTCGACAACATAAAATTTGAATGTTAGCACATTTATGCTGTAAAACTTTAAAATTAGTTTGATTCGTCCACACAGCAAAACCAAATCCCAGTAATCAAACTGATTCCCGCTAAGAAAATTTCCGGAAAGATTAGATTCACATATAAGAACGAGATATTCAGAATCATATAGATTTGCACAGTAAACCTAAATCTTCAGAAATCACGAAGGATCTCACTTAACTACAACATCATTCATTGAAATCAGGGAAAAGGCAATGCAAAAGCAAATTTTTGAAACAAGCAATAATTTGTGCAGCAGAATCAAATTTATGGAGCCAGGATAATTCATAATAATTCATAAAAGAAAATGATGTCTTTGTAAATGACACCATTCTTATTTATAACAATACTGTCAGAAGCAGGGCGATTAGCAGACAAAAGTTAAATTTTCAGAATGATTCTATTTCATATAACAAAAATATCTGATCTCATTTGCAGGTTTTCTGAATATCTCAATCAACTGTCACCATTTTAGTTATTGCTATAAAATAGCGCAAGAAAATTCCAGACATTTTCTTGATTAATAAATGCATTCTTATTCGTTATTAGTTAAATCAAGTGTTCTGTAACCTGCCCGAGTCTACTCCCAAACGCAAAACGTTTCCAAACATTTTCTTTTGGTTGAGATTTAGTTGACAATTTTACATGACAGCCACCGATAGGAATATTTATATTTTTCCTCCTTCAAAAATTCATGTAGAATTTTACAAAAAAGTCTGATATGGTGTGAACAAATTTGAAGCCTTTTCGGTGGAACAAGCAAAAAGCGTCACTATACTGAGTAGTTTACGAAGTGGTCATGAACTTTGATCTGTTTCGCTCCTGTCTGTTGGTGGAATGGAAGGATATAAGTCTTAAAACAAGTTTAAAGCCTTTTCGGTGGAACAAGCAAAAAATATCACGATACCGAGTGGTCTACGGAGTAGTCGTGAACTCCGATTTGTTTCGCTTCTGTTAGTTGATGGAATGGAAGGGTATAAGTTTTAAAATATAAGTATAATTTAGACAGCAAATTGCAATTGTAAGAAATTTTACAGGCCTGAGTGCATACGAGTGGACCTGAAAAATCATTGAGCTGACGGAAGCAGATTATTTAGTTGACTTATCATTCAGCGTATGGATCAGAGTGACGAGGAAATCCAACAGTATTACAAAATGTATTGATGGGAAAGGGATAATTTATAAGAAATTGTTGCTGGGATGGCACTTTGTGCACTCCATATTTTTTAAAGGTATAATGGATGGACATCTAAAGAGCATTTACCGTTAGATCTAAAACGTTCAATCGAATAAGCGCATGCTGTATGCGCCTTCACACATTTAGCAAAGAAAAGTGTCATAGTTTTTAACCAAACTCCCGATTCAAATGGTTTGGAATATGCAGATGATTTTCTCTTCCTTAAATCGAATACAGCAAAATTTATGCCACAATTAACTTTTAAGATAATGTTATTTAATCCAAAGTATTATGGGCTGTACTGTGTCCTTAAATTTGTATTTTATATATTATAAGTACAGCACAAAGTAAAGAACGTGTATTTCTGTGTGCAAATGTGTGATTTGTTTGTAATGTGCAATTTTGCTCTTTATTAAGAGCTCTTAATTTATTTATCTGTTGTATCAAGTTATTTATTACAGTCTGAGTTATGTACTATATAATCAAGTTATGTCTTATTTAATCAATTACATTGTTCAGAATCTATGTTGAATTGTCAAGAATAATGATCAGAGTAATATGTTGCAAAGAATATATAGTGTATTAAGTGTAGCACTGAGTTGTAAATGTGCCTTAAGTACATTGCAATGATCAACGCAATGCATGTTACAAAATGTATAGTGTAGCGAGTATGTGGGGCAATGTGTCAACATGCGATGTAGTCAGAAAAATGTTTAATTCCGCATGCAGAAAAATCTATATTTTGCCCTTGTATGGCCATGTACTTTGCCCTTGTATTGTTTTCGGAGTGTAGCTTCAGATAGTTGCGGGATCCGGACGATATCCGATTAGTCTATGTAAGCCGTGCGGGTGTCCGGACCTGCTCTCGCTTGTCAATTCCTTAAACCGAAGTTTAATCTAAAGGATGATTATTTTAACAGAAAGAAGTAAATTTAGAAAAAGGTAAGCAGAGATTTATGCAGTATTACAAAACGTATGAGTTCTACGAATGAAAAGCCTTCAGCATGTTTGAGCATATATTCGAACCAAACTTTGACTTAGGATTGTATATCGAAGGCTAAGAAGTACGAATCCTGTTACCTTCAATTTTTGATTTTGTAGGAGCTTAGTTCTAAAACTTTTTAAATGAACGTTTATATAATTTTGAAGTTTTAATGCGCTGAAGTCAAATGGTAACTTAAACGGGCGAGTTGAGGAAAGTGTATAGCTCAAATGGAAACATCCGATAAATTTATGATTGGAAATATTTAGGTTTTCTTTTTAATTTTGTTGACAACGATAACATTTTTCGTGCACTTGCTTTCGAACGATAAGAGGTGTGAGAAAATAATGTTTTTGTTTATCTTTCACAGGATGAACACAAGATTCCAATACAAGAACTGTGCTCCCGATTGTATTCAAACATCGAAAGAGTAAGTGTTTATTATTGCAAAGCAATCATTATTTTTGTATGTAGTGAAACATTTAACTCTATGAGGGCTGTTTGGACGTTGTATGCTTAATGTTGAAATTGCAATAAATGACTGTCTTTCTTCATTATCAACTGAAATATCTTATGTAACGTAAAAATACAAGTATATAAAATGACTTACGTTAAAAGTAAAGGTATTTTCATAAATTTGTATTTCGTATATTAACCGCATGATTTGATTGATTTGAATATAGGCAATTAGGTTACTTTTGGAGTAAAATATTTATCAACAGGGCTTAGAATGCCCGCGGAGACGAAACAAGGAAAGAGGAAACCTTTCAAAGCCATATCAACAATTTCTTGTTTCCGGTTCTTCAAATTTCGTCCACCTGATACCACTTCTTTGTTAAATTCAACTAACTGTAAATCCGATTGTTATATATGTTACCGTGAAAGACCGAAATTCGAGAATGTCGACTTTCACCGGAGAATGTCAACATTCACCAAATACGTCGGTGAAAGATCGAATACTGCATTACATACTTGTACATTCGGACCCTCACCGGTGTATGTCGACAATCACAGATATGCTCTGGTGTAGGTCGAAAAGAGGGGTCATAAAGTGTCAGAATAGTTTAAGTTGTTGCAATAAATAAGATTTGAATCACATAATTTAGTAAGTTTTTTATCACTATTATTTTATTTTCTCATTTAGCACGTACTGTATAATTAAGTAAAATTTTTAACGTCTATTATTTTCCTTTCTCATCTTGAATGCACTGTGTGTTTTAAGTTCTTAAATTCTTATTTTAAGTCTCAAGTGCGTTTTTTCGTGACTGAATTACGGAGAAAATATAATATTCTTATATGTTCAACATTCACCATTAGAACATGGTGAATGTCGACATTTACCGGTGTAAGTCAGAAATAAGAGTATTTGGAAAATATTTCGGTCATACACCAAGCGAATATGTGAATGTTAACATTCACCGGTGAAAGTCGACATTCTCTAGATTTCGGTGTTTTACCGTAACATATATAAATAGGAAACAAAAAAGTGCACTTAATTTCACAGAAATAAATTTGACAGTCTACCAATTATTGACCCACCTTGCTTCTGCCATGAATCGAGTTTTGAGAAATACGTTGATCAGCATCGGATCAGCATTGATACTTTGATCAGCATCGGATGCGTTGATTGGCATATATTATTATTGTAGATCTTACCAACAAGTTAAGGAACTCATGAAATCGAAGCTCACTCATCGAAGCAGATTATCTCTGCACTAACAAAATTTCAGAAGAATCCAATCAAATTCAGATTTGTAGCTCATGTGTGAATAATTGCCAAAAATGTGATCGATATTAACTTCGCCAAAATTCTCAAAAATGTTTGAATTAAGGTCTCGAAACCAAATAATATTGAATTACTTAACAAATGGACTATCAATAAGAATCAGAAAGTTATTTAAACTATTAACAAACAACAAATTTACAGTATTAACTGTCATGACTTTGAGAATTTATACACTATCTTGCCATTTAATGAAATTCATAATAGTTTAATTGAGCTATACAATCTATTTTTTCAGCATTAAAGACTTAATTAATTTCGGTAATTAGTATTCGTATCTTAAAAGTACACTTTCAAATTCTATTAAATATCAAAGTAAAAATATTTTTACAAATTAATGGTATTCATATGGATACCCACTTACCTTAAATGTAAGCTTTTTCACAATTTTATTAAATATCAAAATAAAATTTTTTACTAATTAACGGTATACCAGTGGGTGCTAACTATTCAACTGCTATCGGTAATCTTTTTCTCTTCTTTAAAGAAAAGAATATAATTTTATTAATAATAACCAAAACCAGTCCTTTTCAGATTTGTCTACTGGTATGTAGATGACATGAGTGGTATAAATAATTACAATAAAACTGAAAAAAAAGGGGGGGGGACGACATCGAAGCAGATTTTCTTGATGTATAAATTTACAGTCAACAATGTTACTTTATTTGATAAAAGACCTTTTTAATTTCAGAATAACTGAACTAAGTAATCGGAAATCCAACATCTTTAGAAAAATTATTGCTAATACTACAAGTATTATTAATAAAAGCAAAATAATAAAAAATATTTTTTCAACAGCAATGATTCTACAAAAGATCTTAGCTTATTAATTAAAATCCTAAAGATAAAAAAAATTCACATAATTTCATCCACCTCAAAAAAAAAAAAAAAAAAAAAAAAAAAAAAAAACCAGCTAGATAAACTGCAATTATTAATCTAAAATTTTTCTCGCTGTAACCGTAACCATGAGAGTTTTTAATTATCAAAATTATGCGACTAGGCCGCTATGGGCTCATATATCGCGAAAGTTATTGGAGTTAAGTAAGTTAATCAGTTATGAATATCTGTTATGGATTTTGAGGCGTTAATAAAATAATAGTGGTAGCAAATTTTGTATAACTAAACTTTATCTCTTGTTAAAGCAAAAACTATTTTCCGTTATAAGGCACCACAAGCTCAACAATTTTCTACAAATATCTATAAGTACCAGCATTGCCTCTTGGCCACCGTTCAATTAAATTTATTTTTATATAGTTATTTTTATCCCATATTATAGTGTTATCGTTTTCAAGGTGGTCAAATGCTGTTAAAGAATTGTATCTACGAGTAACTAAACTATACACCGATTTTTAAAAGGTACGCTATCAAATAATAAATCACTGCATTGGGGTGAAAACAATAGCGTTTTGAAGCAAATCAATCTTAAAATTTTATGCATATTGCCTGCATGAAATTGAATGCGCCATGAAAAATAAAAAGTAAGTAAAGGCTTGCATCCAGAATCATATAGTATAACTATCTACAAAGTCGCCCGCTAAAATGTTTTACTTCCCAGTAATAGAAAGAAAAATAAAATTGTGAATATGTTCTCGAGAAGCATAAAAGCTTAACTTTAGAGATAAAAATAATAACATAATTTGAAGTGAAATGAAAAAGGAAAAATTAATAAATCAGCTGTTAAGTATCGACTGATAACAAAGCAAAATTTTGAGGAAAATATTTTTTCGTTACAGAGATAAAAGAAATGATAAATGTTCTACTCTCGCAAATGAAATGTGGAGATATGAAAAGTTCAGTTATATACTTTCCGATTTTCAGTTTCTAACTGATGAAAAATTAATGATGTTGGATTTAGTATTTATATATCTAGTTTTAAGACCTCGCTGGTTCTTTAATTCTGTACATTAAAGAAACTACAAGCTTCGATAATTTAAAAATAATTTGGGAAAGTAACTTATGTTAATCATATTCGAGTTTGGAAGCAGTATTAAGAATATTTTTTCGTTAACTTAGTTTAATCATACCCGAGTTTGGAAGAAATATTAAGAATGTTTTTTGTTACAGTTACTGTTGCTAGAGGTGAAAAGAAGCTTCAGGAAACTTAAAATAGTAAAATATTGTATAATAAGAGCTTCAAATGATCACGAAAAACGTTCAAACATTTCAAATCTATGAAAACATGGTTATTCGTTGCAGAATAATTATCCTATTTCATACATGGCCTTTCTAAAGAATGGACTGTAGAATTGAGTGATCTGCTATGGAAACTATAGAATTGAGTGATCAAGTAGAATTTTAAACACATTGTTGATGATTTTACTTCATTAAAAAAAATTATTACAAATACTTGAAAAATCAGTGCGTTACTTTTATATAAATTGCGTTACTATTTATTCTATTTCGATATTATTTGTGATTTATGAGACAGGAATTCTTTAAAGTTTCTCATTTCAAAACTGTACATCGTTATAAATGCCTCTCGCGAACGGGCTGGTTGCATGGGGTTTTCGTGGTTTTCCCCATGTGTAACGTGTATACGAACCAGTTTTCTTTAGAAAGTCCTCCATGAAAGCCTCCCTCCCCTTAGAGATATAGCCCTCGAGTGCGTTGCCGTAATCAAATAAACCAAACCATTATAAATGTCATTTCTCTGAACCTACAAAGTTATGAATAAATACTGTTATAAAGTGTTGGCATTGTGATTTGAAATAAAATAATGAATGAAATATGCATCTAAAAATGTAAAATTACAGTTAATTTTTAGTGTATGTATATATTATGTTACGATGCGATTACTCAGTTATTATTAATAATTGCTGATTAATGAATCGCAGGGCTCACCATTTTCGTCTTTGCCTCTGATGAAAAAATATGTATGTGCGGCTCTGACTGTAACAGCCTCTATTGTCTTTTTAACTTGGCAATTTTCCTTTTTCTCTCCTAAAATTAGTAACGTGATTATAATTAACTTTATTAATAACTTTTTTTTCCAATGGCGGGCACTTGCCTGTCGGTATTGGTCACTCCCAAGACCAGAAGTGGTGGTTTCTTTATTATGGAGGCACCTAATAGGTGAGCCACCTTTGCCTCCTATGAAGGGACACACAATTTTTACATCCCTGCCTTCTCCGAGATTCGAACCCGAGCCCTTCGGTATCGTAGTTAGAATTCCCTAACCATTATACCGTCTGGGCGGCTACTTTATTAATAATTTTATTAATTAATTTATAACGTTATTCCAAACTTGATACTTGTTGTATGATTTCTATATAACGTAAATGATACTTGAATTTACATAATGGCTAAAATGAAATGGTAGTTATTTTATTCAATAGCAATTTAAACCGAAACTTTCACACAACAATAATAATAAGGAAAAATTACCATGTCACTTTATGGGGCAAGGGGGTAAACCATAATACTTAATCTAATAAACAGCAGGTACAGGTAGAAGCTAGGCCATCACCTCTGAAGTACCATAAGTAATTGAGGTATTGCTGAACCTAGCTACTCCTCTGAAGTACCATAGGTAATTGAGGTATTGCTGAACTTAGATAACTGTCATGATTTCGCCCCTGTTTTGAGGAAGAACACCCCGGGGACGGTCTGAGAGTCCGAAGCCCATCCCTCTTCCTCTACCACCAACC